AGACCTAGGTAGAACTCATTGAGTTCGACATTGGCAGGTGCGAGAAAGTTCGGAGTTATGTATGGACGATTAAGGAGTTTTTGAAAGTCATCAAAACTAAAGGAGTGGCCAGATTGAGATTGTGAAGTAGCCATTAGGGACGAAATGAAGTTTTTCAGAGTTACGTAGCAGGGAAACAAAAAGATGAACAGTAAAATTGTGGGAGAGAAGCACGAAAAAAGTGAGACGTGATTTAATGGTGCAGTGAAATGGCGTATTTGGAGGTTATAAGGGTTTGCAAAACGTCGCACCTTTTCAAACTATGGAAGAAAAAATGATTGAAATTCTTGAGAATTTCGAATGTTGCTGGAAACACAAAGTGAATATGGCAAAATTTAATAATTGGTATTAATTCTGCCATATTGGGGGTAATTGTTGACACATAAAAATTCAGCCCAAATCGAACGGCCTAAGGAATGAAGCCCAATTGGAGGATCCCCAAATCAGATAGCCCAAAGAACGAAGACCAATCAGACAATTCAGGATGAAGGCCCAAATAGGGAGGCCCACGAACGCGGTAACACCATCGCCCAAACTTGCAAGTCGCCCAGGATCTGAGCGAATGGAGTGCCATGCAGTCGCCCAGAGCTGCTACTCTATTCTCGCCCAAACCTTCGAGTCGCCCAAGATCTTAACAAACATGAAGTGTTGTGGTTATCAAGAAGCGCAGTTTATCAAAACAGTTATTAAAGCAGCCCTATCACGTTCCACGATTCAAGGAATTCAATTGAAGAAGGTTGAACGACAAAGAGTAATGGCAGCAATTAGAAAAGGCAGTTCCATGACAAGTTGGCCATTACGAGGAAAGTGGGCAGTTATAGAACGATCAACCAGTTTTTAGGCGGTTGATCACAAAGAGATCATCCAGGGAGTATAAAAGGAAGAAAAAACATAGAGCAAAAGACCCCGAATCAAAAACTCTCGAATAGAGAACATGCAACTTTAAATTTCTTAGTTTAGATTTAAACACTTCTTTCAGTAATTCGTGTGCTTGCGCCCCTTGGAGGCATTTTGTTTTTACTTTCCGATTGTAAAGTCATCGCCAATAAAGAACACCCATTTTTGGGACTTTGTCTCAAGAGGTTTGTCCCTTACACAATCGTCTGATCCTTTTTTAATTGTTAGTGACAAACCCGCGCGAAACACATCTCAAAATCACTTTTGAACACTACCAATAGCACCACCGCCACAACCTAACAATGCCACCACTACCAACATAGCCCAACAACATAACATAAATGCATCACCACCACCACAGATACAACCCAACACAAATGCACTGCCACTACAGATACTATCCAACACAAACGAATCATCGCCTCCGCCACCACCATCGTGCATTGTAGGACGAAGCATGAGGCCGCCACAAATACACTACTTGTGGAATGAAGTCGTTGGAGAAACGGACAGCATCAACATTGCCTCGTTGTGCGCAACAATGCTCCCGCAACAAGGTACTGCTGTGCTCGAGGCGGAGTTGTGCCATTTTGGGCAGTAGCAGTGCCTCCTTGCACAACAATGATTCAGTAGGGAGGCATCACTGCGCATGGAGGCGATGACTCCGACATCGGGATAAGGGGTGAGTGCGGCACCGAATGAGGGAGTGGGTGGTGTAGGTAGAGAGTGAGAAGAGAAAAGTGGGAAAGTGAATTTTAGGATTTGAGATAAAATTAAGTTGGGGTTGGGATGAAGGAAGGGTGAATTAATTTAATTTTATAATATTATTATTAATATTTTAAAACATGAATCATCATCTGAATTTAGAACAAAAAATTTTGGAATCTTATTTTTAAATTGGAAAGTTAAAAACCATGTTGGGTCCGATTTCCACATAAATTAATTAATGTGGTATTTTCTATTCTAGTTGAGACCAAAAAATGACGTGTCATACACTTGACTCGGGAAAATCAAGTGTGCCACTTACGTTTTTAATTCAGTAATTTGATAGTTAGTGCAAAATACTTCGACACCCATTTTTATGAAAAAATGAATTTTAAAAGGTAGATTGATGAAAAATGTATGGTCAAAAATAAGGAATTTTTTTTAATTACGCATAATATTGTTTTAATGAAGAATCTGTGGACATTTTAATGAAAAATGTATGATTAAAATGAATAGAAAAAAATGCATTTTGAGAAAAATGCGAATCAAACGGACCTACATTGAGAAAAGGTTGAAAGAGTTGACAAGACATTCAATTTGACAAAAGGTCAATACATCTTGTTTGAGTTAAAAGGTTCTTATTTTAAATATTTTTTATATTAAGTTCTCGTTTGACCCTTATTTTTGTCAAATTTTAATGGTTAAAACAATTTTTTTTTTAAATGTGTGGTTGAAAATAATGAAATTTTTTTGATTTACATGTAATATTATTTTATGAAAATTTGTGTGGTTGAAAATAAAAAAATAAAAAATGAGAAGGAGAATAGTGGCAAAAAACGGGGTTATATTCAATTTTTTAATTGCATTCCTATAATCAACCTCTAGTACTTAGCGCAGATTGTCCATAATGGCATTTTTCTTTCGAACATTTTGTTAATGTAATAAAGGGCAATAATTAGTCGCTCTTTTGCATTTCTTATTTCTTCATTATATAAATACGAAGGACTAATTACTCTTTTTAATCATTTTAATAGAATTTTTGGATTATTGTTATCAAGAATAAGATATGCTAATTAACATAATATTGGAAATAAGAATATGATGAAAAATTAAAAGAAAATATATAAGAATGACAATAAGCGAATATTATGAACATTTAATGCAATAAAACAAGTGAATAAACTAAATGAGTGGCTTTGTGTGTAAATATATAGGTTTTTGTTACGTTGAATGTGAGGTTACTACTAATATTTGTAGGAGTTAAAATATTGCTTGTGGCAAATATTTACCTTTTTGATGAAGCATGATTTCTATTAAATGGAGTAGTGATTGGCTGTGACAATCTCTTATATTCGTGTTAATTAGACATTTCACTTATTTTGAGGAGGTATGTTTAGATCATTGACTTGATCGCAAGAGTTTACTGTATGCACGTGATTACAAGGCCAGTCATCCTCATCTTTTAATCGGTATAGGACTAGTGAAAGTCCAATTGAGTTGATGCGGTCCAATAGAACAGAATAAAAAGTCGATGATCAGCGTTCTTTTGTATCACTTTGCCTATTTACTCTCTCTCTCTCTCTCTCATATCGAGTCAAAAGATTCGAGCTATATAGTATGACTATTACTTGTTGCAACAACTCTTAATAAGAGTTTTCCTTTGACTAGGAATGGGAGGATGACATCGCACTTAGCCCTTGTCTGGTTCCCATTATTTTTAAAATAATTTTTTTCTTGTTTATTTTCAACTACACATTTTTCAATAAAATAATATTACATATAAATATAAAAATTTTCATATTTTTTAACTACACATTTTTCATCAAAAATATTATTTCGAAATGTATTTTGGAGAAAAATGAGGCCACTGTCCAATATTGTATGTCAATGAACCAAGTCGAGCCGACTCGAGGGCTGAATCTCGAGAGTCAAGCTCAGCTCGAGTAAAATGGTGCGAGCTTTTTAGCGGGCTCGGACTTTTTTGGGGCCAAGCTATGGACAACCCGAGCTGACGAGCCAAATTGACATATCTACGTCTAATCCTATATTTGTACTAGACACGTTTCATGTTAAGACAACTGTAGTGTATAACATTATTTCAACTCATGTGAATAGTATAAACTCTTATCATTCCATGATTGTGAATACGTGTAACAAACTAAGAATTTCATGTATGGCTAGAAGTATATATCAGTAATTATTGTGCGGCATACTTAAGATTGATGAATCCCATAGTAATAAGTGATTTCAGTGGTCTAAATTATTGCCATTATTTGTTAATGTTTATGATTATGGAACCAACTAAAGCATCGATTGGGATGAATGGAATGAGATAATTATGAGTGGCCCCTTCATCATCATAGTTTCTTGTGCACGCTTGGAACTTAATGCAATATTTAGTCATCATGTTCAGACGTGCTTAAAAGTAATTTATAATTTTTTTATACGTCCCTTTCATCAAGCTCATTATCACCTATGAAAGGTTCATTTGACAAGAGGGATGATGGTGAATTCTATAGTCTAACGCGCCATCAAACTCTAGTTATAATAATAAATTATTGCTCGAAATCATTATTAAGTTGTGAAGCTTAGCCCTCCGTTTGGCTCCTATTCTTGTCAAATTTTAATGGTTGGAATAATTTTTTTTGAAAAATGTGTGGTTGAAAAAAAATTAAAAGTTTGGAAAATTGTGTGTTGAAAATAAGAGAGAGAAAAAGAATGAAAATGAGAATGGGGACCAAACGGGGTATTAATTTTGCCGATGTGCTACATCAATGTGCGTATAGATCTCTGTAGTGAGACAGTCGTGAAATTGGAAGGGAGCAGGGAAATCCCCTGTCGAATGTGCAAGAGGCCGGTCCCCGAATCAAAATTTCATTTAGGACAATTTAAGAATTACACATTTGTAATTTTGATTTTACCTTAATTTTTCTTATGAATAGGAAACCATCATTAAAATTTCGTATTACTAACGTAAAAGAGAGGTCAAAGAAGATAGAGTATACAATTTTTTCCTGTAAACTTATTTTTAATATAGTGAATTACGACAACGACGAAAGATGACATTGTCTCATACTCAAGCGAATCTCCATCAATTTTGTGTGTTTTTACGTCTCTCTCTCTCTCTCTCTCTCTTAGCGAATTTATTGCGCAGCTGTGTGTGCACGTCCGTAGTGGAGGATTGAGAAAGGATTTCTTGGAAGTAACGGGGAGTCAACTTTCACGTGTGAGCATTTGGTGCGTTATAACTTTTAGAAAAAGTAACTCTGGGTTACTTTTAAACATATATGCTCGGCACATTTACACATGGGAATCACAGTTCAAAAACAAAATCTCTTCCAACGTGGTTAATCACTTACGTAAAAAGAAGGCAACCGACAAGTGAACAAATACAAAGCATCCGTACCTATCCCTGTTCCAATTTGAACAGTTATATGGATCAATGTCTAAATTCCAAGAGGAAGAGCTATAGCCAAGAAAGGTTAAAAATCTTCTTTGACTAAAGAAAAACAATCATAGCATTTACATGAACTTCACACGTCCCTCCAAAATCAAAAAGTAAAATATGAAATAATGATTCTCTCTATACATATAGTCATCATTTAGTTAACATTCTGGACACTGATCATGGGCAATTTCAAGAAAGTTTGTGTATTCTGTGGAAGTAATTCCGGGCATAAAAAGATATTCGGCGACGCAGCACTTGAGCTTGGAATAGAACTGGTTTTTCCTCTCTTCTTGCGTTTATCCTATACATTATAATAAGCAAGATTTTGACTTCTTTTTTCAGCGTACTAAACATGACAGAAGGGCTTTAAACTTTCAACTTGCAGGTAAAGAGGAAGATGGATCTAATCTATGGAGGAGGAAGCGTTGGTCTAATGGGTATGGTTTCTCAAAAGGTTCATGATGGTGGATGTAACGTTCTCGGGTAAAAAGAACACGCAATCGCGCGCACGCACGAACACATGTGTGCAAGTTTTTTGCTTGTCTATATCATTGAGATCTTATGCATGTTCTTATTCTTTTTTTTTCTTCCCCTGGCTAGAATAATTCCAACAGCTCTGGTTCCAATAGAGGTATTTTCATCTTTGTTTCTACCACTTTTTCTTTCGACACGAGACTCAGTCGAGAAACTCACCTCCCCTGACTTTCCTGTCCGATCCCTCTACCCATCGATACTATTCCAATATGTATTTACGGGACCATTCCTCATATTCATAAATTTGACACACTTATTTGACAAATAATTGTGACCTTTAATTTAAACCAATCCAACGGTCAATAATATATCATGGATGTCAAGTGATTATAACAAGCTCTTTTATAATCTTAGTGAAATAAATATTGGGCGTTGAATTGAATTAAATTAAAGGTCATGGTTATTTGTAAGTTCGTCAAATTTATGAGTAGGTGGAACGGTTCCGATGTAATTAACTTCTAGTTATCAGATATCAGGACAAGCAGTAGGAGACGTACTGACTGTTTCGGATATGCATGAAAGGAAGGCTGAAATGGCTAGTAGAGCAGATGCTTTTATTGCACTTCCTGGTGAATAAATTTGAAATCCTATTGTTTCAAATATTTTCTCTTAATTTGATCCAAATTAAGCTGCTTACTTTTGCTGCAGGAGGATATGGAACTATGGAAGAATTGCTTGAGATAATTTCATGGTCACAGCTTGGAATTCACCGCAAACCAGTAAGTACATTTAGAAAACAGATTTACTATCAGATATAGCATATCAGTTTGGAACAACTTGAGACTTTTAACAGGAGAAATTACTGAATATTGTTACATAAATCTATTACTATCTGAACCAGGTTGGTCTCTTGAACATTGATGGGTACTATGATTGCTTACTTGGATTATTCGACAGAGGCGTAGAAGAAGGGTTTATCAGGAACTCAGCCAGAAATATTGTGATCTCGGCCAAAACTGCTCAAGAGTTAATAGAGAAGATGGAGGTACATTTACATACATTGGCTACTTCCCTAAATTTTATAACAAATTGGTCTTATCAGTTTTAGAACATGGAAAAATGTTTGTTCCTCCAATTGAATCCCAAAATTAAAGACTATCAAGAATGTACACTAAGGTCATGTTTCGTATATTGGATTGGATAATATTAGACATAACTAAGGAAGAAAAAGTATTTACTTTTGCCCATTTTGCCATCTTTTTCATTCGTTGGGCTCTCAGGGGAGTGGCTATTCGCGTGCAGACGTTACTCATCCATACTATCGCCCCAATGTGAATTTATTTCGTGTTCAGTAATTAAAACCCCAAACATAAACAACAGATCAAGAAGAAACAAAAGATGCAGGAAAGAAGCCCCCTAAATATGATGTCAATCTGCAAAAAGTTAAACCAATTTGTACAGACAGGGAGATCCCTACTGGAAAAAGTAAACTTACCATTACTTCAAGTTTACGGTACAAAGAATTAGTGTATTTCTTGCTTCCTAAAGGTTATTTACGTTCTGTGCAGGCTTATGTGCCATTGCACAACCAAGCGGCGCCAAGCGAAAGTTGGAATGTCAAAGATCCTGCAGTTGCAAACTTATAGTCAACAATTTATGCATCGTTTTTGAACTTTCCATTCAATGCCACCTTCGTATTTGAGTAACGGCAAGTGAAACGAAAGTGAATTGATCTTGAGAAACAAGAAGCTAGTTTAAATTAATTTGTACTTATTTTTAAGCTTATCCAAACATTCTCTTACAAATGCATTGAAATATTGTGCCAGGCGTGAACCAATGCTCAAGATCTCTAGAAAAGTGAGACATGAACTAACATGCATAAAAGTTGATAGGCATCTTTGACCTGTTTGGCATGTGTTAATCCTGTCCTCGTGTCTTTGCTCTAATAAAGTTAAACACAACATACGCCACCTAAGCATACACGTCATAAATATGTCATAAACTTGATTTCTTTCTTAATATAATTCCAATATTTTTTTAATCTTTACATAACCTCCGAAAATCCCTATAATTCCTCCAAGACTTCTATTTCTCGAGCCTAAACCTCCTCAAGACATCACATTCAATAGGCTTTAGTCGATAAACCGATGTTTGATGATGCTAAATCACAATCAACATAAAGAGAGAATCTCAAGTACTATGTCGTTACCTAAGGCACCCAATTTATTGATAGTCCCTACTTTTTTGTCTACTTACGAAAAATTAGTTGATAGCTAATAACGCTAAAAATATATTTAAAAATTACAAACTGTTCTTAGTTATTAATATTAAAATCATGAATAGTTTACTAAAGAAATTTTTGTCAATAAAAAATAAATATTAATCGAAAATTCTATTGGGGAAAAAGTAAAAGTTTTAAAAAACTTATAATTGGTAATATTATAATTGAAAAAAAGAAAAAGAAAAGATATTTTAATTTATTTACCAGTATCTTATATAAAATATAAAAATATAGAAAGAATAAAATTTTGTGAGAGACACCGACGACATAACATCGGGGACTAGTGATTCCCGACATTAAAGATGACATCATTGTTGATAATTATGGATGAAGGTGCTTCGATGATTATTAACAATATCGTTATTGGAAATTCTGTGTGAATAATTAATATATATTGATTTCAATCAGAATCATCTAATGCACTGCTGATGATCACTGGCGGCTTTTCGTCAACGACTAAAGCACTATTGATAATTTTCAACAATATCATTGACGATATTGTCGTCGTTAATCGCTGTGTTCTTAAAAAAGCATGTCTGAGCGTGAGGCATGGATAAAACGCTTTGCCTTGACAATAAGTGCGAGTTAAACGAATAATTGCTAAGTTGATCGCTTAATGCGCGACTAGGGATGCCTAGGCTTTATTAAACTATTTTATTATTATTTTCTCTTTTTGAAAAAATCATGACTAGGCACGCTTTATTAGTTTTTTTACTTTTATTTTATTAAAAACCTTTTATTTGACTTATAATTTATTAATTTATTAATTTTTCCTCTTTAAAAGACTTTTATTTGATTTCAATTCAATTTTTAAAATGACTTTATCTGTCCAAAAATAAAAAAATGTCTAGTAAGTAATTTCATTTATGAATTATCAACATATATTGATTTCAATTAGGATCACCAAACTCGTATTGTCGCTGATGACCAATGAAAAATTAGTGATCATTTGCTCAAATAATTAGTCTATTATTCTTGAAAAGATTCTTTTTACGATTTCTCTTAAAATCCCAAATTGCTTGAATCGTCGTTAAACAGCTAAAATGTCCTCACCTAAACTTGTGGATAGCAATCAGAACCTATGTTTGATCACTTCACCATGGTCGAATCCTCACAACCTGATTTGAAGATCACATTTTTTGAAAATCCCTCTCCGATTTTTTCGATCATATCATATCTTCGTTAATTTACACGCGTGATTCAACGTTGCCACATCAACATATACATGTCCAATTAAAGTTGAAAGTGGGCCTCTTAGGCTGACTCGGTTTTTAGATCATTTGGTAGGGGATTGTCTGCGCCACTCCGACAGTTAGGCCTGATAGGATTTGTCTCTCCAAACAGTCTGGTCCATGGCTAGGACCAGCCGGAGTTTACATTTCTATGCCCAATCCAGTACACCTTTGTAAATGTAATCCGACCCATACACTTCTTGCTTTGAAAATGAACATTTTGATGAATTTGAATAGATCAAATGTAATAGAAAACTTTGAATAAGCAACAAGAAGCCGATGATTATAAAATATTTTACCCTTAAGCGAGACCCAATTAACCGGGAAACTCCTATAAATATTTTTTCTTTGGCTAAATTCATTTAGGGTCCATTTGATAGGCATCCAAATTACATAGAAAATGGAATTCGTTTCTCAACTTTCACTTTTTGCCATGTTTGATAGGTTTTTTTTTTTCCCATAGAATTCTCTTTCTTGGTTGTCTTGGACTTTTTCTTGGTTTTCCTTGAATTCCAATTCTCACCAAAATGATAAGAATTGGAATTCTCGGTTACTGTAGCATTTTTTTTATTTTTTTCGATTATTTATTTATTTATTTATTTTGGTTGGTAATGAAAACAAATTTTAAGAATTATTGTAAAAAAATATTTCCCTTTAAATAGCAATTTTCATGTAAAACAAAGCAAAACGAACACCAAAATATAGATGTTTTTCTTGAAATTTTTATTTTATTTTATTTTTTTGTTTTGGCAATGGAAACAAATTTCATCCCTAATACCAGTAAAATCTATCTTTTTTATTGACAATTTTCATGTAAAACAAAGTCAAACAGAGATCAAAAAACACTTTTATTTCAACATTTTCCACATGGAAAATTATCCCAATCAAACACAATAATTTACAATTCTCAGGAAAACAATTTCTAGGTAATTTAATTCCCTGAAATTCATTTTCAATTCAATTCAATTCCATCTTTGCAATCAAACGGACCCAAACAGAGAAAATCTAATATGGATTGTATATAAATTCATGCAGCACCTAATGTTGGGAGAACAATGAACGTAGCAAATGCTTCTACTATCGTTCAGCTTACAAGTCCGGAAGCATTAAGTTCTATTAAGGTTAGTCGACATTTGAAGTCATCTGATGTCGATTCTCCCCGTTAAGAATACGAATGATTTGATGGTTGATGTGCAAAACAAGAATCGTGTTAGCAACCACCACATCTAATGGGTGGTAATTAGCGTCCATGCTCCGATATTTAAGTCAATGAGGATTTCAAGTCGTTGGTTGACTTTCACTCGAGTGATTTCTTAATGGAGCCCTACCTTTCTATTTACTTTGAATTGAGCGTCATTCGATGGTGATACAACAATATTCTAAAAAAGCCTTCTAAACGAAGATTTTGAATTTTGACTTGGAATTCATAATAATATTACCCTATCTCCATCTTGGACATGGTCATAAGAACCGATTATTTCATCATACATTTCTCTTGGAAAATATGGTAATCTTCATCTGGTCGGTGTCGATGACTTGAAATAAAATTATTAATGAAACCATCCTTTTCTTTACCCAAGTCTCAGAGAAGTGTTTCTCAAGTTTACCTACGGAAAAACTACGTTGTGGTCGGTAGTCTTCAGTCTTCACTCGGTTTCTAAAACTTGTTCTCCCCTCACACGGTTTCTCAAATTTTTTTCTCAAAGAAATTTGGCATAAAGAGTGGGGACAACTGAGAAGTCAATTTATTGATAACAAGTTAATCTACTCATCCGTTCTTTTTAAGTTAAAAAAAAAATAGACTAGACTTGATAGGATTAACGAAGAAAGACACGTCATGTGTAGTCTGTTGTACTACATTTTTTTTTTTTTTTTTTTTTTGGTAAATATTAATTACTATAGATCAAAACTCATGTATAAATAAACATGCCTGGGCAATCAAGGACCAAGTGAAATACAACTACTCAAAGCAAGTTCGGGTAAACAAAAAGAAAAAAGTGTACAAAAGATGGGCACTATAGTGTCAAAGCCAGAGACTCAAAACGAATCAAAACACGCTAGTACAAGTAAGCATAATCTTACATCCGTGTGTTTTAATTAGTCTAAATATGCTCTCCACATGCGGACTAAGTTCGAAAAACCTTCCTATTCCTTGTCATCCAAATATGGTAAGCAATACTAGCAAGTGCAATTATTTTAAATTTACTTTTTTCTTCATTTGAAGATACCAACTTAAATAGGTTGCCCTAGTTCTTATTTTTCATGTACAAGTCGAAAAGAATCGATTCTTGGTGCGAGAAAAGCATATATATGTAGAAATTACAATGAAAATTCTAAGACGGTATACAAAAGATACAATCATGTTGATGGTCCGCTATCATAAATTTATATATTTTTCGTCAATCTCAATTTTTTTTATCCTTAATTATTACTCTCGAAATCAAGAATAGTTGTTTTAATCTATAAGATAGCCAACAACACTCAAAAGGAGTTGACCTTAAATCTTGAATGTTGTTCAAGAAACGAAACCAAGTCATATTCAATATTACAGAACAGATCTTTTTATTTTTTTCGTTTCATCAGTCCACGAACACTTGAAAAGTCAGAAAGAAAACTGTCTAAAAAGTTTGAACTTATATTTTGAACTGATCAAAGTGTATTGAAATACAGAAATTTAAAATTTTGCATCCCTAATTGCATAAGAAGAAAAATACAATGACTGTGTACACGTTTATTGTGTAAGAACTCCATTATAAAAAGAATGTAAACGAATTCCTACACCTTTTTTTTTTAATGCCCACTAAAATAGAATAGGTTAATCAAAGAATAAACTCAATAGTTTTGACTTAAGTCACTAGGGCCCTCCACACAATGGTGATTGTTGCATTCTTGAATGGCAAATACTGTTAAGAGGTAGACTGCAGCTGTCAGGTGTAGATGCACCAGATGGGGAGTCTAATCTAAGGCGTCGATCACTTCGTGGTGACAAATTTACTTGTTCCAAAGCTTGTGATTGCAGCCCGGAAGGATAGTCTCTCACACATCCAATGCGAGGTCCAGCTCCCGAACTCCATTTGCAAGATAGTTGCTTCCCCAATTGATACGACTTCATTTCTTTATGCGAATTGATCCTTTGCAGAATTGTTTCTTCGGGAATAATGTCTTCTTTAGTTTCATCGTGTTCATCTTCTTCTGCAGGTTCATATCTATCCAAGGGCGATTTCAGAAGGAAATCATCAGCATTTAAGTCAGCTGTTTGATTTTCACGGTCTAATCCCTCTAATAAATCATCACTGCTCTGAAGATTAGCTAGTTTTTGACTGAAGCCAAGATATGTACTTGACCTTGACATCTGCATTGCAGTTTCATCTTCTCTTGACTTAACTTTATTCGAAGTGGAATTTTCGATAAAGTTTTCTTCCGTCTCCAAGTCATCTTCAGATGAATTAGTTCTCAAGTGTACTTTGCTCCTCTTTCCAATATATACTTCTTCTTCATCATCCATCGAATCAAGCTGCACATAATGAGATTGAAATTACTCAGCATGGATATTTTGGTTTCTCATCGTGAAAAATAATAATAATAATAATAATAATACACAATGAGATTGAGATTACTCAGTACAGATTTTTTGGTTTCTTCTCGAGGAAAAAAATAAAAATAACAAAAATTGGGTAAGTTTCTCTGTACCTTAACATCAGCAAGATCCACATTGTTCTCTCTCAGAAATGATTTGAAGTCCTCAAAATTTTCGGGAGTTGGTCGATAGTGGCCACTGTGAGGCCACACTGCCTGTTAAAAGTTTTTCAGCAAGAATTTTTAGTATCAAGTAATTGCTGAAATGATATAACAAAATAAAGACAAAAAACGTAGACCCATAAGAGATTCTACGTGTAAGTTTTCACACTATAAAGATACCTTTAAGGATCCATTTTCGACAACCATCCTCCCAGCAGCCAATGTGGCTCCTCCAGCCAAGAAACTAGAGTGCTGAAACTCGCCTTTCTTTTTCTTGCCAACATATAAGGTCCGAGAGGTACTGAGAACAAAAATACACTTAACGCCCTTCAGTTCTCGAGTGGTATCGAGGGGCTCCCCTGTTTGCTTGTAGATGAGCTTCCCATGTTCAACTGAAACTTCATAGGCCTTCCTTTCCATCTGTTGCAGGACACTAGAAATTATCAGCAGGCAAGATCTTGAAAGTCGAGGAAAAAAATTTGCTTCAACTTAAAGTAAAAGAATATGCAGTGAAGGATGAAACACACACCGGACCAAGATACTTGATGCACTGTTGCTGAAGTTTTGATCGAGGACATTTCTCACCCAGATTAACTTCCTTTCCTTCTCCTATGTCTAGCCTGCATTGTCAAAATAATGTAGTTAATATCATGACCGAATTTTCATGTCCTATAATATAGATCTACGAACGAATAAGCGTGTTCTATTTATAGATAATTACCAGTAGAAGAAAGGCTCTTTGCTTTGAGAATTCAGCCATCTGATGTAATAGAAATGCAGATTGTGCCCGTAACGATGCCGCGGATCAATCTACCCCATTCATGAAGAAATGGAAAAAATTAGTTTACTGACCATTCCCAACTACAAGAAATTTAAATTTTCTGGATCAAACTTTAAATCCTGATTCCATGATCTATAAGCAAGCAGAAATTAGGAAAAAACGTGGAGGAACATGATGATCTATAGTGGGTTCATTCTCAATACGAGAGCTACATCTACACACCCCCTAGAGGTTATCACTACAAATTGAGAAGAATAAGTTCACAATGGAGAGTCTCGTGCCTCTCTCACTGTATGTATATCTCTACTAAAATGGCTCCCCCTAATATCCACAATAGACATGTTAAGTTAACTTAATAATTAATACAAAATATGAATGCTGAATATACCCTTAAAATTTCGTCTCAACTGGTATAATTAGGCTCCACACATGAAATAAAACTAAAGATAGAAACAATGAATTACTCACTGCTTCAAGCCAATGTTGTAAGGCTAGTTTCTGGGCTTTGCAATTCTTTGATAAACCTTTCCCAACCTGCATAAGCAAGGGAATTAAGATTAATGATTCACCACTTTGATGAAAAATAACTTTGCAAATACACACGAAGATCTGTAAAAATATACCTTTGCCGCTCTTGTTCTCGCTCTTGACCAACGTGAAATCGCAGACTCGTGTTTCTCAAGATCAAAGAATGAAATTGAACTTCGCTTGAGTTCTGCAAAATCTAATAGCTTCCACCAGCTCTGCTCAATCAGAACAGCACAATCAGCTAGCTTTCTTCTTGTTCTAAAGCTTTTATACACCTTTTGCAGCTTTATAGCAGCCTCATGTTTCGGGCTTTGTGAATCCAAAATTGGCATTTGCGGGATTCTTTTCATCATTTCAGTTTCTCTTCTTTTGAAGCTAACGGTTTCTTCGACTATCATTTCCACCGAACCTAATGGCATCAATTTATTTGGTTTCGAAATGTTTTCCTTGTGGCCAATAGATCGAACTGGTGTCTTCTGATTATCATCTCCAAAGCTGATTGACTTTATAATGACTGATTGAAAACCATTCTCTAAATCAATATAAGAAGAGAGCGGGCATGAACAAGACAACCCCATGCAATATCGAAATGAATTTGAGACAAACTATGAATGCTGGATTCCTGTTAAGAGGAACAATTACTTAATAATTGAATATAACATCCTTTGAATCAAAACCAGGTTAGTTGTGTCAAATACATTCAAAATCGCATGAAAGAGATTCAACTCAATTATTGCAAATAAGATAAGCAAGCCATGAGCTGTAAAATGATTAAAACTAAGTAAAAATGAATGCTCAACCTAACAAATAAAAAGCAATTTCGATCAAACTGGCAGATTAGAAACTCAATACTATAGAAACTGAGCATTGATAATGGATTGGACAATACTTCAAAGTATTAAGAAACAAATATAAACTAAAATTTGTATTGTTACCAAACTTTTCAGAATAGTAAAAGCAAGAAATTTTTGATAACCATTTTTTTGTTTCTTTTGAAATTTTCGAAGTATTTGGCTATATGAACAGCATAATTCTTTCCAAAAAATCAAGTGTCACAAAAATCCCATCAAAACAAATAAAAGCTTTACAAAACCCAATCAATGAAATGACAATTTCAATATTATAAGCATATGACATAAGCAAATTAACCAAGCAAAGAAAAAAAAAATCCATTATATAATAAAATGACATAAAAAGCATAAGATTATACACCCCAGAAATGATAAACCATTTCAATTCAACTCACTGAAAAACACATCCTAGTCCCCAAAAAAATTAAATAAGAATTCAAGTCATCATACTGTAAAACAGAACCACAAAAGACGTAAGCATTAAAAAAGAAAGAAAAAATTTACCTCAATGCAAGAAACTATTTGAACCAAGAAATCTCCGAAGATAGGTTGGCGTATAAAAGAATGGATAGAGTATCCGAATCAATGGCATATAAAAAAAATATTAGTGGGTGATTTGACAAAAGAGCGATAATGGGTTCAATTCTTTCGGGTTATTTTGCTATTCAGAGCTGTTTACAAGTGCATTATGTATTTGATAGTATAGATGTGCATATATATAGAAAGGCGTAGACAGTATTTGGACTTGGGTGGTTGCGGTGGCTGGTGGGGGGGAGAGAGAACACGTGGAATAGACTTTACGACGATGAGATGGAAAAAAAAAAAAAAATTATTTCTCTAACATTTATTTTCACTCTGAATTACTTGTGTGAAAGTAATTGTGTTAAAAAATATTATTAAAAAGTTGGAAAAGATGAAAAAAAATGTTTTCTTTTCTCTCTCTCTCTCTCTTTGAGATTTTGATTGAAAGGACTAAGTCAAATTATTTTAAAAATGTACATTTATAGCATTTTCCATAATTTAATTAGATTTTTCTCTTTTATTCTTGCTTGACTGTTTCTCTTTGGAAAGTGCTCCACTTTCTTCCATTCAATTTCCTGAAAAATGTTTCTGGTTTACTCTTGACTCTTGAATGATAACACAAGACTTCATTCATTGCATGTTTATGGTAATAAATAATTATCCATTAGCAAAACGATCTTCTAAAAATATAAAATCAATATATGAATCGAATTGAACAAAAATATATTAAAGAAAAAAGATATAGTCGTTCGTTTGGTCCAATCTAAAATCTCAAATCAAAGTTAATAATTAATTTAAATCATATATTTTATAAGATTTAGAACTTTTCAACTAAATATTTCATCAACTTTTATCAAAATCTATTAAAATTTTGATTTTAATCTACATCAACAAGGGCATAGTATTGTTCGTTGTGTATTTTAACTTGACAAAATCTCGCACCATATAGACACTTTACCAATAATACGAGGAACAAGATTGGTAAAGACAATCGAAATTTCTCTATAGGAAATTCTTGTCCCTTTAATGAAGTCAAATTCATATATATTTTATGATTCAATCCTCTAGTGGATAATTGACTTTTTTGAGTAACCACCAAGCCACACTACTCTCTGTTATATGCCCATCGTTAGAATATTGCCCGAGTCTCATTTTTTCATCAAAATATAATTTTTAACAGTGATTTGACAATATTTCAACCACACATTTTTCAATAAAATAATATTATACCCAAATCAAAAAAAAATTCTTATTTTTTAACCACACATTACTATTCAAAAATTCATTTTCTCCACAAAAATGGGGCTCAAACAAGGACATTATCATCAAGTTCAAAAAGAATTCCATTAATCAAACTTCACCGCTTAACAATTTTTATAAAAGAAGATGACAAAATATTAAACACAATTATTTTATTCAACTCTAGTAGTAATACCGTGGTAATTATTTTACCTTATTTAACATGGTAATGATATTTAGTATTATCTGATATTTAACACCAGTCTATGTATCAGTACTTGTAACATTATATTATAAGTTTAATTAAATACAAAAATTTATTACTTAATAATAGAACTTAAGATATTTAACAACATTGATGATAAATAAATTTTAATCAATTTAAAAACGTAGTCATCAAGTTGAATTACAACAAATGGGACATAGCACATCCAAGGCCGCAACTTAGCTTATCGTCCAAGCTTTCATTCAGTCAAAAATGATTTTAGGAGATGTGTACGGAGTTGGTGAACATATATTAATATTATAATATTGATTTCTTTTTTATTTCAAAATTGATCGTTCAAAGACATATTGAAACTTCCAGGAATTGAACGAGATTGACCCACTAGTTGACCAAATTTTGTAGTCCTGTTTTTGGACCTCATTATTTGAAATATTTGAAATTTTAATGGTTGAAAATAATATTTTTTAAAGAATGTGTATTTGAAAAAGAAGAATTTTATTTTTTTTGAAATTATATATAATATTATTCTATTGGAGAATGTGTGATTGATAAGAGTAAATTATAATTTTAACGGGTCAAAAGGTGTTGTATAAAATTTGTTGTGAGATATATCTTAAACAATTATGGCCCTTTTTGAATCTCATTATTTTTCTTATTAAAATGAAAAATATGACCGTTATTCATCACATCACGTCACTATATTTGACTTTTATTTTTTGTGTGGGGTCCATAACGACTATATTTTTCATTTTCATTTTGACAATAATGTGACTCAAACGGAGACTATAATTTTTATCATTACATAAGACGGCTGTTCATTCTCATTTTAATTACAAAAAAGATTAACAATTTGCCTCATTTCAAATTTGAAGGTGATCACCTTCTCGACTTGTAGCTTTTGGTTGAGTGGTGCGGAAGATGATGACTACCAAAATTTGAATTGGGCTCAGTTTCTCCTCTAATTGACACCAATATGAAAATCACCCAAAAAACCTCAAAGCCACCATTTTGTTCACAATTGCTCTTTAGTTCACTTGCTTAGGATGTGTAATGAAAAGTATAATCATGAAGATGAGAGATAACCACAAAGGCAATGAAGAAAACGGTAAGGAAGAGCTATAGAGAGAGAAAGCAGTCGATTTCACACACAAAGAAGAAAGAAAGGGATGAATTCATATGACCAAGAGGACGGGTGCCCTAAGAATATATAGGCATCCATTAGGGTACGGTAGAGTCCATTATGAATATAAGTGGACAGTTAAGTAGGTTACCCGAAATTTGCCATTCAAGTGATCGAAATGGTTCATGAGCAGCTCTAATTAAAATTAGGCTACTTCAAATGGCTCAAACAATTTTTTGGGTCGAGTCATTCACTTTGGTGCCAATTTATCGTTCAGTCATTATGTCGATCTCAACTAAGAAAATTACCGATTTATATCATAGCTTGGGAGAGGATGTTTGACAACAATTTGCATAATAAGTTGATTGAATATTGATAGTGTTAAGATTTGACCATGAAATAAAGGGAACATTTTAGAAATATATTTTCTACTTGTTTAATATTTATTGACCGTTGAGATTTCTGTACATATAAAACAAGAAGATGTAGCAACAAATGTAGGTTTTAGAATATGATTACTAGGGTCGATTGAGGATATAATGTCAATTGATACATATATTAGGGTCGATTGAGGATATATTGTCAATCGATACATTTATTATTGTGTGCCAAAAACTATTCATCTACTTGTCTTTACGCTTCAAAAATACATCCGCAAAGATTCATAAAAAACGCGTAATTGAAAATAATAATAATAATAATGATTTATACATACGTATACGCATACAAACACAGTTGTGCCAAGCTTGCAGAGAAAAAAATACACCCACTTACATCATTTGACGTATGTGTTTTAAAAGATAAAATCTTGCTAAAAGATTTAATTACTAGTTATTATAATAGAACGGTGAGTCTACTTAAAATAAGAATTTCTTATTCCAGAAGTATTGGTTGGAGTTCAAGTGTTCAATGGTTGATAAAGTCTTGGTCAATATATGTCTCTATTAAATTCTTTTATATAGCTCATCTTCCATCTCGATTAAAATTTCAAGTTGAAGTTAATAATTAATTTTAATTATACATTTCATCGATTTTTGTCAATATTAAAATTTGATTTTAATCTATATCATACGTGGGGATAATTTCAACATCTATTTTCATTTTATTTGTTTGACAAGTTGAATATGCGATTTAATTGAAACAAAAGTATTCCAACATTAAGCCATATTTAGTTTTACTTAAAAGAAATGTGTTTCCTCGTTCAATTCTTTCAAATTCTTGGATCCCCGTTCAAGAATTCTCTTCCTTATTTCACTCTGTTTTAGTAAATTTTGATAAAAATTAATTAAATATATAATTTTTATCATAAATTTTATAAAATATGTAAATTAATTACAAACTATTAATTGAATTTTTTTTACAAACTTTTAAGCTACACGTCATAAAATCAAATTTGTCATTTTCAGGCCAACCTATTAATTATGTCCCCGTTTGGTCCTCATTATTTGCCATTATTTGAGATTATAGTTTTTGAAATAATTTTTTTTTTTGAAAAATATATGGTTAAAAAAAAATTTATTTTGAATTTACGTATAATATTATTTTATTGAATAATGCATAATTAATAAGAAAAAAGAAAAAAATGTATTCAATGTACATATCATATAAGATTTTTACAATTTTAATGTGGACCAAATAGTGGCTCTGAATGGTTTACCGTACAACCTTATCTTCTGAACAATATGTGTTGTCAAGTTATTGGGCCACGTAATCGTGTCTGACTTTATGTGACACGCATACCTAACTCAAAACAATTACACCTTGTATTTTTAACAACCATTAAAAATAATTATTTTATTTTTTTAAATTCATTTTTAATTATACATTCCCACATTAAAATATTTTATACATTAATTTAAATTTTTTTTATCACACATTTTTCAAAAAATAGTATTCCAAATTCATTTTAATAATTGTCAAACAAACGCATAATATGATCAATATAGGTTCTTCAATGCTTTCATTTCAATCTTCTTCTCCCTTTTATTCTATAATTTAATTCTGGCCGAATAGATGCCCACATCAATCAATATTTCAAATCATAAGAATGAAGAACATTTTGGTAGATTAAATTAAGGGACATTTTTTAGAATGTCCAATTTTAAGGATATAAGTTGAAAAATGTTCACTCATTTGAATTTAGTGTCAATTTGTCAATTATACCATTAATGAAATGCTACATTTTGAAATGGTATTCTCGACATTTGATTTTTTTTATCAATTTGTCACGAATTTTGAAAAGTGACTTTCAAGAAAAGTTACATTAAAATAATGTTTATCGACATTTCATATGCCATTTTCGACATTTGAACACTGTCGAGAATGATATTTCATTTTGAACATGATATTTCTCTACATTTTTGAACATGACATTTCTCTACATTTAAAAATGTCGTTTTCGACATTTCTAAATCAATGAAAAACATAGCATTTATTGTAATTTGACATGTATACTTTTTGAAATAAATATGGCAAGTTATGTGTCAAAATTTTATTGACCAATAACAATATTACAAAAATGTCCATTTTTTTGTCTTAGTATGGAATTATAAATTGTTAATAAGAGTATTTTGGTCTAAATTCTTCCAAATTAGACTTTTTACAATAGTGGACATTTTTGCAAATGACTAGATAAAAATAGACATTTTGTGAAATTTACTCTTAAATTAAATAACAACCATGATTATTGCAAGGTTACATCTCAAAATTTTATTTGAATAACCCACTTTCACCCACAAAATGCAACTTAAACATCATAACGTTAAGTTTTTATAGAAAGACACATTTGTAGTGTAAACTCATAAATGGAAACACAATGTCACCATGCTCATTTCAACTTTAATTTCTATTATTTTTCTTTGGCACCTAACTTCTAACTACATTTTGGGATTTTGAGACAACTCTTACATAGTGTCTATTAAATAATTTTACTTGTAAATTTGAAGTGTTAGAGAAAGAGAACAAACTATTTATTTTTGAAGCACTCATTAAAACATAAAAAAATAAAAAAAGTTCATACAAAAATTTCTAAATATATACTAAAATAGCGATGACGCGTCTTCTGAAAGGTGTGAAAATGTCAAGTCTAGGCAATAAGGGTAAAAAAATAAAAAAAAACTTTGTTATGCTTATATAAAAGGCTCGTAAAACTTGAGGATTGATTGACAACATACGTGTTTTTATCCTTATGTTTAATTATTTAAATAAATAAAAAATGAAGACAAAATATTAAATTGAATAGCTGGAGAGGGCATTAATTGTTGACAGCTAGCTGCTAAATATTTTGCCGTTTTTCTTACCAAAACGCGCTGCACCGACGGATGGAGTGATCCGCTGTCTGTGCTGGTACAGCATGGTACAACAAAGGTCAGCGGTGCAATAGTCAACCTCGATCCTGTTGACCCACCTTTCTTTTCTATACACTTTTATGAGTAGACATTTGAAACCAAATCACATTCCCTTCCTTCGTCACCTTATTTTAAGGTTTTTCTTGGTGAGGTTTGACTACAAATGCACTTTTTATATCCTATTAGCATTGATTGTTTAAAATTAGAATGCATAAGTATTTTCTGGTTTACAATTAATATTTGATAAATTGATAATTTCATTTAAATAATAGGATTCTCCATCCCAACATGGACAAAAATACTTAATTAATAATATTATTAAATGAATAAAATATTAGCTTTATTTAAAGTTTTTAAGATCCAATGAAACATAAAATAATATATGTTATTTTTTAATCCTTTTTTTTTTTTTTTAAATTGATCCTGTTGACCCACCATGATTTTCTATACACTTTTATGAGTAGACATTTGAAACCAAATCACATTCCCTTCCTTCGTCACCTTATTTTAAGGTTTTTCTTGTTGAGGTTTGACTACAAATGCACTTTTTATATCCTATTAGCATTGATTGTTTAAAATTAAAATGCATAAGTATTTTCTGGTTTACAATTAATATTTGATAAATTGATAATTTCATTTAAATAATAAGGATTCTCCATCCCAACATGGACAAAAATACTTAATTAATGATATTATTAAATGAATAAAATATTAGCTTTATTTAAAGTTTTTAAGATCCAATGAAACATAAAATAATATATGTCATTTTTTAATCTTTTTTTTTTTTTTTTGAAGCTGAAAATTCAATTTTCTGCCCTAAAAAGTCCAAATTCTAAATCTATATCCATATCACATGGTCCATATTGAACATGAACAGCAAACAATCGATTTTTCCTTTTTTTTCATGATACGTTGTTCGAAAAAAAAAATTTTGACCCCACAGTTTAAATGGTCTGGGTCCGCCCCTGCTTGGAAGCCTTCTTTTCAATAAATAGTTGATAAATACAGTTCTCATCTAAATCCTTATCATTCTTTGTAAGCACATTCAGTATCCTCGAATAATGTCTTCATGAATGACTTTTCTATTGTGATATCTTTTTCATTGATAATTTTCATAAATAACTACTCCAAGTACAGGATTTTGCGGCTTGTACAAAAAAATTTGCTAAAAGCAATGACCGAAAATGATGTGGAGGGAAATAATTGGAAGAAAATGTTGATCGTATTTTAAATTGACAAATGATAAAGTATCATGTAAAATAATAATAATAATAATAATAATAAAATTAATGCATTTCACCATTAATTCATCGCTATTGACCAAGTTGCAATTTTGTGTTAAAAACTAATTTCATTCGACGCCATGCTTGGCTTTCTGAAGAGATTTTGACTGTTAAAACTTCAATTTTTAGTCGAACATAAACTCTTTTTTTCCTCCTCTCAATCTGATCGATCTAGCGTAGATGACGACTCGTTACGAAAACTGTGCTTTAATATCAAGATGAGTTAGATTTCGCTCTGATGCATCTGCTTTATTTTGTGTAGAATCAACTTAGATAATGTTAGTGGATACACGTACACGTGTTCTTTTAATTCAGAAACACAAAAGGCACAAACCATAATTGTTGAGCGCTAAAATTTCACATCGAATAAAAATGATAGACTAATTTATCAAAATTTAAGCTACTGTCCTAAAAATGTTAATCTTTTAAAATGAAACCCAAACTCTTAACATGGTATCAAAACCCAATAAGTTCCAACAAATGATTCACAATCCGATTAAGACTCGTAAAAATGAACACACTAATTTCAAGATTAACTTGGTCAAAACGAGTCGCCACCTTGCAAGAACATGTTAAGGAATAAAATCCAACATCAAATAAAGATAAAGACATAAACCAACTTATAAATATTTGAGCTACTCTTTTTAATAAGATTGACATTTTAAAATGAAACCCCTAACCTTAACAATAACTTGAAGCAAGCAAATACATGTAATTTCAACAACTACTAATGAAAACCAAACAAGCACCAAGGTGATTTTCTACCCTTTTTATCCATCTCGAGACCAATTAAACCTGATTCTAATAAACAGGATTAGTAAAAAGCATTCAAATTTGAACGATCATCTGCACAGATAGGTAATTATAAATTATAGATTCAATCCAAACATATATAAAAATTGCAGTCAAACTTGTTTAAACGTTTGAGAATAAGACCAAAACACAAGAAGAATCCGACAACGAACCAAACTTGAGAAACAATTTCAAGAGAAAAGGCAACCAAAGTCCCAAATCTACGAATGGAACATTTCAA